CAACTGTATCTTAAGCCTTAAATTGATATTCAAACTGAGATATCCCATCGAAGTGCCGTTTCAAAAAATAGGATTGGCAAGTAAGAAAAATCTAAGACTGTCTTTGAAGAGAAGAATGTTAAAGTGGTTCATCTAAGAGAGTTGACATTTAACAACTTCATTTATTCCTTATTTACTTTGTGATGGAAATCACACCTGCAGGCTTTGAGATTCACACCTGGGTAGATGTGAGGATCACAGGATGTTTGCCCACAGAAGCACAGCTGAATGTCTACAAACATTTAATGGGATCCCTCCTCTTAAGACAAAGAATATTTTCTTCACATCCTGGAAGCTGTTCCTGTGAACACCAAGTCTTAAGCATCCATTAGGCAAAATTCATACAATTTTGACAGCATGATAGATGTTCAGGAATGCCCAGGATTCTTTATGTTTGTGGTTTTGCCTCTTCTTCTTCTGAAAAATAAATACTTATATTGTATTTTTGTTATTTCTCTTACTGCTCCCTTATCCCACCCCCATTCTAATCAGTAATTATTAACTATTTTTCAAGACTTCTCTTAGGATTCACAGAAATGCAGAGAGTCCCAGGGACCCCTCCCCCAATAAAAATGACAAAACTAGCTTCCTCAATTCTACTTCGTTCCCATATTCCTAATTTCACGAAAATATCTCTACTTTTGAGGGGACTGTATAACCAATATTCTTGGTGGTTTTCCCATATTTTTAATAGAAGTTATTCATAGTATGGATTATTGGTGACTAGTTCCTTCTTGCACAAAATCAGTGACTGTATCTTTAGTACCTGTAAGGATCCTGGCTGTGTGACTAAGGCCCTCTGTGGTCACAGATTTCATCCTAATGTGCATTTTAGTTTGTATAACTCCCCATTATAGGAGCTGGTCTATTAACTTTCTGACTGCACATGACTTAGACCTTTCAGGTATTCACAATGCTTACGATGATTTTGGAAAAAGAGAGTGCTGGAGGGAGAGGGAGAACAAATTGTAATGTAACTGAGTATTTCCGTCTTGGTTCTGTGACTAAATAGCAAATTATTCAACTATTTTTAACCTCTTAATGCATAAACAGTGATAGTAATAAATTCCTAATGTTTTCTAAGAGGACTATTTTACAAAATCAGTGAGATAATATATGTGGAAATGTTTTTAAATTGCAAAAGCATACACAAAAAGTCACCTCATCATTCTCTATTTCCATATGAGATAAAGTCCATATAGTTTGACTAGG